GTTAAAGTTTAATTAATTATAACAAGGGCAACGAGGATTGAGTATTAGACCACTTGGTCAAATAGTCTTTGATACAAATGTCAAGTAGGGTTGTAAACATATCAGATTTGGATTGGATTCAACAAAATTCGAATTCGATCATATTATTGAAAATTTGCATCCAAATTTGATCTAAAATTTGATTGGATTTAAAGACCTCATATTCAAATTTGAATCCTGACTGACACAAAACATATTTTATATTTAGATTTAATCTGACTCTACTTTAATATGCTGAATTTATTATATATATATAATATAATATATAAAAAACATTTTTATAAATTTAAATATAATTTTATATATTAAAATCAATAGATATTACATTATAATCAAATTGAGATTTTAATTAGATTGGATGGAGTCAAATCTAAATCCATTTTAATTACATAAACACATCATCTGAATTCAAGATAATCAAATCGAATGTCAGATTAGGCCATAGGCTTTCGGGTATCATCGACTTGCCTAATGCCAAAGGAACCATCCAACCTAAAAGCTTAAGTTGTTCGATAGGTCCATAAATAAGATTTTATTCTCTAATAGAAACCACCAACTCAAATGCAAGGTATATGGTTGATGTGGACTGTGAGATCAAATAGCAACTGAGTAATCGTCCATAAGGCCCTTGTCTTTAATTGATCATTTGATTTTGTATACAATATTTATTTATTTATTTATTTATCTTTTGAGTATAAGCACTCAATCCAACCTTTGTTACCTTGGTTCAATAAAAGTAGAGATTGATGAAGATGTCACCCACCTAATTATAACATGAGGGGCAAAATAGAAGAGGTGCATGAAAAGTTTATGTGGTAAGTGAATACGAAAATAATATATCCAAAAACTAAGTGTGATAAAAATGTGAATACATAGGGTCCGTTTGATTTGCAATTGGAATTGGAATCAGTATGGTCTATTCTTATAATTTATTTAGTTTAGCTGGAATGGAATTTTATTCCCAAGGGAGAGGAGGGGATGGGCATTCCCACAAATGAGGAAAGTGGGAATTAAATTCGGATTCCACTCAACCAAATAGTTGAAATTAGAATGGCCCATTCTAGTTCTGATACTTCTATTCCCATGAACCAAATAGGTCCCTAAATGAATGAATCCTCTTTTTAAAGATAGAGTGAATCTTAATCCTAGAAAGAATTAAATTAGAAATGAAATCACATGAAACTAAGTCCTAAAATGAAAAGTTAGATTGAGATGATTTAGAGGGTGTTTGGAATCATGGGCATTTATTAAATAAGCGCTGCCACATAGACACCACTTCAGTATTTCCCCCATGACGTGAATCCATAGGCACAGTGACTTGTAAAAGTAGACTTCGATTTATGTACATGCTTATTATTGGGGGAAATTTTATTTTAACACCATCCCTAACAAATAAATGTTTACTTGATGTAGTGCCTAATGACACGTAAATATCAATAAACAGGTTCGTTATTGTTTTTTTTTTTTGTTTTTCCAAACAAATTAAATAAGAAACTTTTATTCAATAAAATTCCACGGTTCCAAATAGGCAAATACGTACATGGCAAGGACAGAATATAGGTTTTTTCCATAAAATAGACCCAATATGGTCGGGAAAAGTGTTGGACGAGGATATGATGATATTTTGAGCATCAAGCAACCTATACGTCGTTTTTACTATAGTAGAAAGGTAATTTGGTTAGCTGAGTGACAGATTTTAAGGTATGCACATGGATTGATCTCGGTAAGAGAGAACCGTCTGTATTACATGGATAGATGGACTGACATGCACACATGATTTGGCAGGGAAGGGATCACGTAGACCCCCTAGGGGCAATATAGTAATTGTAATTTAACTTGGATACGAAAAAGACACTGGTCCGTGCCAGTACAGTTCCAGTCGGTGATCTTTTCATTTCCCATCCCATTTGAATTTGTAAATGCTGCCGCTCAAGACTGAAACCTTACCAAATTATCACTCTAAATCAGATTTATGCACCAATATGACTAAATTACCCCTCTCGTTGAAAGAAAATTACCTTCACAAGACTCAATTGAAAAAACTCAAGCGGTTCCATTGAATTTGACGAAAATGACCTCAGCGACAAGTCCGAGAAACAAAATGTTCCATTTGTACAGAAAGAATGAGAATCTAGTATTTTGGTAGTAGGACCGGTACTGGACAAGTAGACAGGTACGGGGTCCCATTTACGTTAACAGTTGTAGATGGCAAGGAATAAACGTGATTGAATTACCACATTACCGAAAAGAAATTTACCACGAATTGATTGAAGTGTACCGACATTTTTTTTTAATTAATTATCCTGATTTGTCGGTTTTTTCAATTTTCAAAAAATGCATAAATTACTTTTTTATTTAAATTTAAAAAAATGAAACTCTTTAGAAAATTGGAGATCGACTTCCATCGGGGCAAGCCCATGCTCACACCATCCCAACAGCCTCTTGCACCCTTGCATTGGAAATATCAAAGGTTCAAAATATCGATATACTTGATACGTCGATAGGGGTATATGTATCAAGCGATATCAATAGTGTTGTCATCTGTTTTTTTTTTATTTTTTTCAAAACCGGTTCAGGGGGATCGGTTTAAGGCTCCTCCACCCCCTGAACCAATCAGAACCCCGATATATCACTTATAGGGGCGTATTGGGAAGCCACTAGCATAGTATGTATCGGCCGATACGTATCGATACTTTGAACCTTGAGAGAATATCTCCCCATGAAATAAAACATATGAATGTAGAGATATTCCCAATGCAAGGCTGTAAAGGCTGCTCGAATGGGTGTTGCCCTAATGGAAGCCAAACTCAGAAAATTGGGATCTCCTGCCAATAAAATACATTCCAACCCCTTACCAACATAACCTAACACTGCACATATCACCATCAAACTAGGACTCACCCACCATAAAAATGAGACATGTCATGTATGAGATGTGTAGTGTCAAATATCATTTGATATTTGATAGGGGTTGAAACTTTTTTTGTTGGTAGGGGATTAGTTATAAGCTCTTCCAATATCATGTATTTCTGTCATTATAGTCTAACCCTTTTTATAAAACTTAAAATTCTATTTGTACTTTTCCATATATTTATTTTTTAGAGTTTGACCTTCAACAATGGTACATTCACTTATATTAGTTCCACATTAAATCCAAATCTCAACAAATCACATTAATTCACATGCTTTTTATTAGTTCACTTTTTCGCATTGTGCAAAATGCAAAACATGCATCGTATTGTCCTACTCCTTCGAGCTGAGTCAGGAGTGTTCACAGTTCGATTTGGTGCAGTTTTGGAAAAGATCTCAAACTAAACCAAATTATTTTTGACATTAAAACCAAATCAAAACAGTTTCGGACCAAAACGGTTTGGTGCAGTTTCTAACATAGTTAGGAGACTTTGGACCATTATTGATTCTATTAGGCTCAATCCAATTAAAAAGTCCAAATAGTATTCATAAAAATTAAGACTTATGGCTTTGTTTCAAAGCGGTATAAACACTTTTACACCATGGAATTTTGCACCGATTGGTTTTTAAAGTGTAAATGAGAACCGACGATTTAACGATGTAAAGTTTTACATCGTTTTATCAGAGGTAAGTTCCCCTCAATTATCATTGTAAAACTCGATCTACATGGAGTTTTACATCTATTTTCAGTGGTTATTTACACTTCGTACCGGACCGAAGTGTAATATAACACCGATCCGGTATTTACACCACAAACAAACGCAAGTTGTATATTTATATAATTATGTTATATATATATATATATTTCAATTAATGATTTATTATTTGATTCGGTTAATAAAATCCAATAGGCCAAACTAAAATCATTAATTATATTTTAGCAAAATATAAAACCAAAGAAAACCATTTTTTGGGTGCACACCAAACCAAATCACAAATTCGGCTTGTTTTGGTTCGGTTTTGGGATTTAAACCATACAATCAACACTCCATAGTCCGAGTTCATTCGTGAATGCTAGAGTTACCGTCGTGGCAATCACGGGTCTCTTGTAAAATGACAAAATGACGGACCAGCAATTGGGTCGGTTTATTGAGGTTTTTCCAATCGACCCGACTTGGTTGGGTTACTTGAGGTGGAAATTGAAACCGACCCAGTGTTAAGCAAAACCGATCTGATCGGTTTGAGTCGGATTGAGTCGGTTTGGGTCGGTTTCGGCTCTAAGTTCATCCATGCCCCCATGGCCCATGTGCCTGTGTGGTGCAAGTTTGGGTTGTCAGATATTTCAGTTTTTATGTAAAACTGAAATATCTTTATTTAACAGTTTTAAATATAAAATATATTTAAATTAAAATTAAAATATATATTTAAATATATTAGGTCGATTAAATTTAAAATCGAAATATATATTTAAATAGATAAGTAGGAACTAAGTCGGTTCGGTTCGGGTCAATTTCAGTTTTCACACAAGAAAACCGAAACCAACCCAAACCATCGATTTATGAATTTGTACAACTCAAAACTGATTGGATGAAAACCCGGCCGACTCAAGTTGGGTCGGTCTGGATTAGTCGATTTGGTCGGGTTGCACCTTCTTATGAACAACCCTACCAGCAATCCGACATACACGCACGACCTTCGGACTTTTTTTTTTAAACATTTTTCTCTCAAATAAAAGGGATCTAAACCCTACCGTAGACAGTACTAGAGTGGGTCTCCACTCTCAATTGATAAGGAATAAGGGTATTTATGGAATACGAAAATTTGTCTGAACCTAACTTTTCTTTTTTAATTCACGAGAACAATTTACGATTTCACTTGAAAATTTGAAATAAAGAGGAAAGATTGCAGTAAATTTGCAAAAAATATGGGGCTATATTAGTCTTTCAATTAATGAAATTAGCCGTTTAGACTTTAGAGTATTTGATGAAAAATGCCCAAGCCCATCTTACTAATATATGTTATATATACTTGTCTTCTTCATTAAAACATCGTATATTATATGAAGGCCTACTGCCGCGTGCAGGCTTTGCCATCATTGCAAGAAATTGCAGGATAGAGAGAGAGAGAGAGGGGTTGGGAGCCCTCGCTTTTTGCTGTAGAAGTTGGGGTTTTCTTTTCTCTTCATTTTCCTTGATCTAATTTACAATTTCAGCCATTTGGAAGAACAATTCCCCACTGCGATCTGTCTCGAATAAACATTTACAGATTTACTTCGGGATTTATCTGGTAATTATGACTTTTTTTTTGTGTTCTGATTCTTCTGTCTTTTTTCGTCTCCTATTGTAGGTTTTCCGATGTTCTGATTTGAAATATGGAATGGTTACTAGGGCTAGATTTGTATCATAATTGTTCGCATTTTGGTCTCTTAGATCGGATTTGTACGGGTTGCAGATTCAGAGGCGTTGGATCTCCATTCGGCGAGGAGAAAAACGTTAATGTTTTGCCTGATATTTGATTTTTCGCCTCCTTGTAAGTATAGTTCTCTGAGATAAGTTGATTTAGGGCTTCCCATTGTCATTTGATTTTATTTAATATCATGGCATTGGAATTCATCGTCTACTGGTAATTGTGGTTTCGGTTTGCTTTTCTTTTCAGTGGTCTTTCACAAAGAGTGAAAATTGGCTCCGCAACGCCGCGCACAGCGCCACATGGGTGGCCAGATGCAACAGAGCAATGCCGCTGCTGCTGCGGCTGCTCTGTATGATCACCCGGGTGGTCCGTCCCTGCACAACTCTGGCCCCGCGAGCGATGCTGGCGATGCGGTAATGGCACGGTGGCTACAGTCCGCAGGGTTGCAGCATCTGGCCTCTCCTTTGTCTTCAACTGGCATCGATCAACGCCTCCTTCCTAACCTCCTCATGCAGGTACAACAGTGGTACCCATCTTTTCTTGTCTGTTTTAGTTTTATATCCAGAACCAGTTGTGATTGGAACTGGATTTTACATTTCTAACCATCTTAATGATAGATTGCCGAGATTCGATTGAAACAGGAAGTTCAGAACTTTGTTGTCATTCTACTGTTATTTTAAGTGGTTCATTATCGTAATCGTCTCATAACTAGTGTACAGTTTTATTTTTTATTTTTTTTGAATGAAGACGCGATCCTAAGGTTTGAATTTAGTGCAGTGAGCGTGATTATTAAATATATGATTACACTGATTATATATTTGAATTTGTTTCCTGGTTATATGCATTCCTATGAGGTTTTGGTCTGTGTGATGATGACGGGTTTAATGTTTTGATGTTGTTGAAAGGGTTATGGAGCACAATCTGCTGAAGAAAAGCAGAAGCTTTTTAAATTATTGAGGAATCTCAACTTTAATGGGGAGTCTGGTTCTGAACCATACACACCACCTGCTCAAAGTTCAGGATCTGCAACTGACGGTTTTTATTCCCCTGAACTTAGAGGAGAATTTGGTGCTGGGCTTTTGGATCTTCATGCTATGGATGATACAGAGCTTCTTTCTGAGGTATAGTGCTCTATGATTTGACATATTTTTCCCTATGAAGGCATGCTTTCTTATCCGGCTTTCCTGTTTTTCTTCTGCACCAGAAAACTATAGTTATTTATCTCTATCAATTAAATTGTAAAACGTGATTAATACATCTAAATATTTTTGCAAAGACAATAATTGATGTGATCATCTTATTTTTTATATCATGATTTTGAAAGAATTGTATTAAAAGATTCACATGCATGTCTCATTCATGAGAGAGTTTAATGTGTTTGCCAGAATCACTATCTGTTTGATTTCTAACATCCTGTGGTTAGAGAAATTGTGGGCGATTTCTTTTTCTGCAAAATGTGTTGATAACCTGGCATGAGAATAACATTTTTTTTTTTTATGAATAATGTTCTATGCCAGTAATAAATTCATGGGCCCCATTGTGAAAGGTGCAGTTATTTTATTACTGGCATGGAACATTATCATTGGTTCCACAGCCCACTGAACAGCCAATGCGTTCAGCTAATCCTTGCTGCTTTTAATAGGGCTTTAGCAGTTTTGACACCCAGATACTTTGGTACTTCAATATTTAGTTTAAATGTCACATCTGGCACTTGGTCCAGCCATGTCTTTTCCTATCTGGGTAACATATTTTAGCACTAAGGTGCAAAATATTTCTGACCTAGGCTGTATTTGGTTGGATGTAAAATATTGTCAAGGATGGCTACTTTGGGAAAGGATTAATTTGTTGCTTGTAAAACATGGGAGGAAGCAAAACTTTTTTATAGTAAAAGACAGTTTTCATTAAATAAAAAAAGAGAATCATGAGGAGGGTGATAAAATATGGGAGGAAGCAAAACTTTTTTTTTTTATAGTAAAAGAAAATTTTCATTAAAATAAATAAAGAAAATACATGAGGAAGATGATAAACATGGAAGAAAGCAAAACTTCATCCCGACTTGAGAGTACAAATTGTACAAAATGACTTGTGTCCATTTTAGAAGTCATTCTATTTGGACTCTTGAATAAGATTGCGGTAACCTCTTAGAGTGTTACTGCATACTGCATTTCTCTCTCTCCAAAGCATTAGAAATTTAATTTCATAGAACTCTCTCTCCATGGAAGCGTAAAACTTGGGATTCTAGCCTCCTACCTTATTTTCCAAGTTAGTTTCAGGATTGCAATCAAATATTAGAAATTTTAAAAGTTGGTTGTTTTATAGGCTATTGTTTTCCCTACCAATTTTCTTGCATGTGAAAATATTGTTTCCAATTATATGTAACCCTAATGGAAAATGGTAGCACGTATTCTGTCCCCAAAAAAGTTACCATGTGTGGAGCAGGAACTGGAGTGCATGTAGGAATGGAATTATAGTGGTGCCAAATTAAGCTCCTAATATCTGGATTGTCTTGGGCTTGTATAGATATGTATCTACTTACATATTTATCAAAAAAAAATGTTACTTAGATTATTTTTCACATTTGTATCAAGAGTGACACTGCAAATAGAAAGGGGTGTGAGGTGGAATGCTGTATATAATAATAGTTTGACGGAGAATAAGGTTCAATGAAAGGAAAAGGTGGCACAGTGGACGTCACACCTTTGACTCAGGCTCACTAGAGTGTCTATGTCTTCATATCTTTTTAATATGCCCTTTTAATTAGATGCATGTTAACAAAAACATTTAGACTTTTGAAGCTATGCAATTTGAAATATTTAGAATTGTGTTTTTTTTTTCTTCAAAAGTGTTGTTCAATTATTGTTCCCTTTCTCTAAGGGGTAGGACTGGTGATTTAAACGTGAAACATGCCCATGTATGAAGTTTCTTGTTACTAAGGGTCAAAATTAACATCTACTTATCTGGCTTTTCCAATCAGCAAAAAGTGATATACAAAAATTTTGCAGGGTTACAATATTTGGTAACTTTTCTACATGACCTTTTATTAACTTGAAACTCTGTCAATATGTTTGTTCTATATTATTTTAGGCTCCCCATTTTCCTTTATAGGATTACTTGTATGAAAAATGATCACTTTATATGAAGATTTTCTTACTGATGAAAAACGGGTGCCATTGTATTGACAATGCATTGGATAAATTTAGTGGATGCACTACAGAACAATTTTCATGTTTTCACTGCACAATGAATTATTTCTGGTGGTACCAAAAGTGGCAGGGAAGGTATTAGATTGGTTGTGGGAGTAGATAATGGATAGGGGTGGGAAAATGTCAGAATGAAGTGCTGCAGGCTTTTGTTTAATATCAATCACATCATGTTATCGTAACCTTCCCAAGGTTTCTTTCAAAAGGATGAATGTGTTCATAAGGAACTGCAGATTGTTGAGGCCAGTAAATCCATAAAAAAGGATAGTACTATGAACTATGTGCTTTTATCCTTCTTGAATGCTCACTTTATGTTTATGTATGATATTTATAGTAAATGCATTTTGTATTACAATATTTCTGGACATATATAATAAATTGGGCAAATTTCTTAAACTACCCCTAAGGTTTAGGTAATTGACTAACTACACCCTTACTGTTTCAGTATTATCTTTAAGTACTACTGTTTCTGACAATTGACTTGCTCTATCCTTACCGTTATCATCCGTTAATATTCCGCCAAATTCCATACACACGTGACACCATGTGACGTATAATTTTTTTTCTAAAGCCCAAATTTACCCTTCACTCTCTCTCTTTCTCTCTCTCCCCTTCTTCCCTTCGTTCTCTCCCCTGTTTCATCACCGCCACTGCAACTCGTTGTGGCAGCGGACCCCTCCACCTCCAGCCTCTCTCTCTCCTTCTTCACCTTCTACAACTCGTCTCAGATCTGTGAGGAACCCAGATCTGAGATCTGAGAGATACTTAGGTCCACCACTTTTGCAACTGTTTTCCCCATCACATCCACCTCCGACCCTTCTGCAACTGTTTGAATCTCGAGGGTTTTGATTTTTTCTTTCAACAATCTTAGCGAAAGTTTTCCCACACAAATTTGTACCCCTCCAAGAATAGCCTATGTGTCTGTAAGAAGCAATTTTCTCCTGGGGAACGTTCCCGAGCAGATTCTATCTTGCCAAAGCTTGGAGCTTCTGGATCTTGGTAGTAATTCGTTCATTGGATCTCGGTAGCAACACAGGAATCAGAGACGGGATTCATCCACAGTCGCATCAAGGTTGCCTGCAACACAGGAATCAGAGATGGGTTCATCTGCCTTTGACGATTTGCGAAGTTCTGAGAGCCTTCGGGGCCTAGTTTAACTGTTTCCTTCCTTGCAAGTCTTTGTATACGAACAGAGCAAAATAGAAGAAAAGAGAGAGCATAAACTTTTCTTTTACTTCTTCATCTTCTTCTGTTCATCACTAATTCCCAAACGGCTGCTAGTCAAGGACAACCACAAGAATCCACACGAGTCCCTAAAGAAACATTATTCCGTCGTACTGTTAGTTGGAAGTTGCAGCAGTAACCGTTACAGGCCCGTGGACTATGATGAATATCATTCTGAGATAGGAGTCTCTTTCTCTCTGGGCTCGAGAGCCAACTCCAGCCGCAGAGAGAGAACAAGGGCGACATCTAGGAGATCGAGGGCGAAAACCATCTCCGATTCCTATGATTGTCCTTAAAAAATGGAGATCTTGGACGCTTCTCAGCAACCAAACTCGGAGGAAGAGATTCTAGAAAATAGCTTTCGTATAGTTCTATTATGTTTGTGATAAACAAACAAGGGTTGAGACTTGAGACTTTGAGTTTGCCTGAGGAAGAGATTTCAAAATGGGTTGAGGCTTGAGACATTGAATCCACCTGAGGAAGAGATTTGAGTAAATAGGCGAACTCCTTACCGGCTTTCGTAGAGTTCCATTAGGTTTGTGATAAATAGGAAACAGGGGTTGAGACTTGAGACGTTGAGTCCACCTCCGCCAAACTGGATTGAAGAAATTTTGAGAGATTGATGTCTCCTATTGTTGTTATGAAATTGGGTTGGACTGCTGTGTTATGAGGAGAGGGAGAGAGAGGGGGGGGGGAGAGGTGGGTTTCTCTTTGATGAATTTCAGATGGGATTATTGGATTAGAGCGGTGGGTTTCTCTTGATTTCATCTTTTCTTTGATTAATTTCAGATGGGCTTATTGGATTAGAGCAGTGGGTTTCTCTTTGATGAATTTCATATGGGCTTAAAAAACACTCAAGTTTTTTAATCCTTAAATTCTCAAGTTTTACATCTTATTTCAGATGGGCTTATTGGTTTTTCTTTGATGAATTTCAGTTTTGTTTTTGCTTTTGCTTCCGGTTACTTGATCGGATTGTAGACAAATATGTGAAAAACGGTCGGACCCTCCTCGCGACTCAGGAGCAATTGTCACTGGTGGACAGTGGAACAGGGGAGAACAGAGGCAGGGAGAGAGAAATAATCCCTTTTGATTTCCTCGGATAAAAACATCAATTTTTCAGTGCATCATTTAACCGATTTCAGGGCAGGATCCCAGAGATCAAAACCTGCAGTGATCGACTGGTAGTTTTTGACATTTTAAAAAATGAGTTAAGTGGGCGGATACCTACTAGCATCGCCAACTGCAGAAGCTTAAGGGTTTTGGATCTAGTGTCTAACATGTTGAGTGGGAGTATCCCAGTGGAAATTGCAGACTTAAGGAGGTTTTCTGTTCTCAGGTTGGGTAATAATGCCAATGGTATCGCAGTTAATGAAAATTTGTTGAAGAGAGGTATTGCTAGAGACCCAGCATGCCATAGATGTCAATATCCCTCTGAATCTATACCACATGTTTTATTACATTGTCACCTAGCTCGGGCAGTTTGGTTTGCGAGCTCTCTGGGTATCTGAACAGACCTTTTGAATTTTGTTTCTATTTCTGATTGGATCAAAAGTTGGTCTGAAGGGGTCCTTGAAAATCAGGAAGCTAGTAGAAAACACAATGCTCTCAAAGCAGCGATCTGCTGGCAACTCTGCCTGGCCCGTAAGGAATTGCTTTTTAACAATGTGTCTCAGGAGCCTGGACACGTTCTTTCAAGGAGCATTGCATTATTTGAGAAAAACCCAAGAGCTAAAAACTAATCATTCTTTTCCTCCAACAGAGCCAAGGCAAACACTTAGTACCTGGACACCTCCTCATCATGGCAGTATTAAAATTAATTGTGAATGCTTCCTTTATTCCTTCTTCAAGCAGTGCAGGCCTTGGGGTAGTAATCAGAGATGCCAACGGTTCCCTCTTAAAAGTGGTGGGGCAGAAGACAAGTTGTCTTTCAGTTGAAGATGCAGAGAGCAGAGCTATGAGGCTTGGAATTATTGAGGCTAAACATTGGGGTGTTATCAGTGTTGTGGTGGAGTCTGATGCTGCAGGGGTTGTTCAGCAGATCAACAATTGGAGTCAGAATGTGGCATCGGCTAATAGAGTCATTATTGAAGATATCTGTAAGCTTCTTGATCAAGAACCCAGACTTGATGTGTGCATCACTCACATTACTAGGTTGGCAAACAGGATAGCAGATATTGTTGCAAAGAAAGCCTTGCAGAACTCTTTCTACTTTTTCTGTAACTGGGCTTCATGGATTTTAAGTGCATCGGAGTCTGATGTACCTTTTGAGTTTCATCCTCCTTGAGGATCATTCGTAATTCAATCTTCTCTTTTTTACCAAAAAAAAAAAAAAAAAGGTTGGGTAATAATGCCATTGATGGAAGCATCTCGCCAGAGCTTGGGCGCATTGATCAGCTTCAAGTTCTGGACCTGCACAACCTTCGCCTTGTTGGGGAAATCCCTAGCGATCTAAGTAATTGCAGATTTCTTGCTTGAGCTGTGAGTCTAACATTGACTTAACAAATTAATCTGTGTCTACATTTTCTGTTGGAATTGAATTTGAAATCTCAAGCTCTTATTGCAGGGATGTTTTGGGAAATGGCTTACAGGGAGAAATTCCTCAAATAATCTGCTTCCTATTCTAGAAAATTTAAAGAAGAATGATGGGCAAAATAGTCTTTTTAATCCATCTGTCAATTGTCGGTAAAGCTTTTTAAGAAATTTCCTAAACCTTAGGGGTAGTTTAAGAAATTTGCCCTAATAAATTTTAGTATGATTCAATAAAGCTTTTTTATCAAATGCATGTGAATTGCCATCTCCTGTTGGTAAAATGGTATATAATTTCTGAGTGTAAATGTGTTTTTTATCCTTTCAGTTCTTTCTTTGTTGATAATTTTATGTATTCCTGTTGGCAGCATGTTATGTCAGAACCCTTTGAGCCATCACCTTTCATGCCATCTTTTACAAGGGGGTTTGATGACTTTGATGGAATTACTACCAAGCGATCAAGAAGCCAAACAGAGACCTCAACAAGATTGTCAACTACTGAAAAAGAGACTAGCACAAAAGAGAGCAGCTTAGCTAAGATTAAAGTAGTGGTAAGTTAGTTCTTTTATTGGTAATGTTTACTTTGAGAGATTTCTGTTTATTATAGTTTCCTTTTTGGTAACCTCTGTTTCTGAGTTAGTTAATCTATCTTGGAACACAGTTAGTTTTCAGTACCTGTAACTAAAGTCAATTCTATTGATAACTGTTTACTTTTTCAAAGATTTAATAATATTTCTTATGGTATTGGGTGCCAGTCAATCAATAAATTGCATGATTCAAATGATAATTAGTAGATTTTTCATTTTTCCATAAAAGGATTCTGTAGTCAAATTTGAATCAGAGCCCTTGTTGAATTGCGAAATGTGTTGTAAATCATGGGGGTTCCAACAACAGAAGATTTGTAATTGGGATATGCTTAGATACATTGCACTCCCAAGCAAAGTTAAATTTGGTTATGATCTTTTACTAAGAAACCTACATATCTGCAAATATGTATGCGTGTTGCACAATATGACAAGGCAGTGAAGGTACCACAAATAATCCCTTCTTCCCCTCTCCTTTTCTTCCTATTTCTTATTATTCTTGATCATTCTCCCTTCTACAAAGTCCAACCTTATTCATGATGTCAGAAAAGAAGTTGTCCAATGCTCATTTCTTGAGTTGGATTCTATAACTCTTCTTTCAAGCTACAAAGGAGTGAATGAGGGAGGAAGAGAGCCTAAAATCAGTTACCCTTGGGGTTTGAATTGGCATTGCATCCAGATTTTCCCTACAGTTTGATTATAGCAAAAATTTTAGGTTTTTGGTTCATATTCTTCATGCAGTTCTTCTAATCAGTTCTACAATCCAGCCTTATTCTATAAGATGATCCCAATCCTGGGATACCAGGCAGTGGGTTCACAGAATGGTCAGTATCTCAACAATTCAAGTTTGTGACCTTAGAATCCAAACTTTACAAACAATCTGGGTTACTAGTTTAGGGATGAAAACTGCTTCTTTAGAGTCTTGAGAAACTGATGCCCACTTGCTCTGAATAAGATAAGGGCAGGTATTGCTGAATGGCTAAAGAAGGGAGGAGTATCTTGGAATCTAAGGAATGTTCTTAGGCATTTCAAATGGCACTCTTGGGGCATGTCTATTCAGGTTAATGGGGTTAGAAGATCTGCCAACAGCCTGGCAGATGGTCTAGCTAAGCAAGGGGTTCAGAGACAGAGTATGTTTTGGGCTCATTTGTAAAATGTTTTGGGGGTCTAGACACTTGGTGTCTGTTGTATTTTCCACAATGTCTTGCTTCTCTGCTTTCTTTTAAAATTAATAAATTCTTCTTATGAGTTGTTGATCGAAAAAAAAGAAAAAAAGATAAGGGCTGTTATTTTAAGAAAATTTCTTGTGTTCAGCTAGAAAAAGAGACTTGGAAAACCTAGTCTATCACATGCTTGCAAGGTCCGAAGAACTTGAGGGATTGGTGTTGACACAAATTTCATGTATTGAATTAACACAAAAATATAGAGACAAGTTACAAAATGAAATTTGTAATAAATAAAACGGAAAATTCCACTTTAGTACCCTGAGCTTTGGGGGTAGTGCCAAGTTAGTACCCGAACTTTCAAACGTGTCACTGCAGTACCCAAATTTTCAAAAAGTGTTAAGTTTGTCCAAAACCGTTAACGGACATTAAGTATCATGTAAAAGGACAAAAATGCCCTTCACCTATCATCTAATTTTCTTATGATTGGTATCCGATCTCTAACCAGCAACCACCTCCAAGATTGACTCTCGATTCATCTCACCACACAGGTCCTCCAGTTTCCCGGCAATAATCTCTGATTATATGGAAGAAGGCACAACTAGTAGTTATGAGGCCCTCTACCGAAACCAGTTCCGATCACATGAAAAAACGATGGACTCTGATTTACCGAAAGTGAAAAAACAAGACACAGCTAGTAGTTATGAGGCCCTCTCCCGAAACCGCAACTATGGCCACTATAACCCTAGAACCCAAAAATTGCCTTGCCATTTGCCACTATGCTATGAATTTCACTACTTTTCTGTTGGTTTGGCCATTTGCTATTACTTTTTTTTTTATGGATTTATACAACTGAACTGATAATGAATTCTGCTTGACATTCATCGTGCTCAGATATATAATAGTACGTCAGGAAAGCTCCTGTAAAAATTATTAGGTCTTGTTCTTTCACTTGAATTTCTATCCATGAAGTTGATGGGGCTAGCTTTAAGAATTTATGGGTATCACGGAAATTCTAATCTCGAAAATTTTGAATTGATCTGCCTGTTTTCCTTTAGTTCTTGTATTGTGTCATCATGTGATATGGGACCTCATAATTCTAAAACCCAAACCTAGAAGAAAAGATGGGAAAAGAAAAGACGAGAAAAACTACTGCTAGTGCCATCTGGTGTTTGGTGAATTGTCGTGTTAGTGCTAGTTTTTGCCTTATTAGTGTGTTATGAGGCCCTTTCAACATTTTTTGGGTTCTGGGGTTACAATGGCCACAGTCGCCATAATCTTCGATCTCATGGATGATGGCCAATCACATGGAAGAAGGCGTTGTGGTAAGTTCTTTCATTATTACTTATACTCTTTTTTTGGGGGGGTTAAGGGAGATCGGAGAGTGAGCCGGTGAGGTATTTCATATTTCCTTGGGGTGTTGCCGTTTCCCCCTCCCTCCTTCCCATTTTGGTTAGGGGTGGGCCTACCATCTAAAGGTAGAAAACAATGAACGGTGTCTTCATTAGTCCAAGATCTCAAACACCTCAACTGGTTTAGTCCCAAGGTAGAAGAGAATGAACAATGTCTTCTTTTGAAGGGTAGTTTTGACATTTTAAAAAATTTCTGAAGCTTCCAAAGTCATAAAAAGTATATAAGAAATGCAACTGGTTGGGCTATCACAGACATGGAGTAGAAGTCCATAAATACAATTGGGCATGCCATTCTCCCATCATTCTCCAATAGAAATTGATAAAAAGAAACACAATTCTCCAACTGGTTTAGTCCCAATGTAGAAGAGAATGAACAATGTCTTCTTTTGAAGGGTATTTTTGACATTTTAAAAAATTTCTGAAGCTTCCAAAGTCATAAAAAGTATATAAGAAATGCAACTGGTTGGGCTATCACAGACATGGAGTAGAAGTCCATAAATACAATTGGGCATGCCATTCTTCCATCATTCTCCAATAGAAATTGATAAAAAGAAACACAATTCTCCATTCGTCTTGGAGAAGTAGAATAGTAAATATGGAACAGCCATCGACTGACAGTGCCGGAATGCCCACATGATAAAATTTGTAAAACGGTTGTAAGTTTTCACCTCACTGTGGCATTCTCCATCCTAATTTACTCTTATTGACTCCTGTCCTTGCTATATTATCTGCTAAGCTGTTAGCAGACCTGGGAATCCTGCTCAGCAAACAGTCAGATTGGAGGATAAACCTACTAACCTAGTTTGGCAGTGCCTCTCTAATTAGAGATCTTAGAAACTAATTTCTCTCAACCTTTTGTTTCAACTAGCCTACTACCAAATTACTATTTGATGTTGACAGTCTCTTCCAACAACAACCCAATTCCAATCAATTCTATACACTGGTTTAGCCCATGAGAAACTGCCAATAGTTCAGCCTCAATGAGGTACCAACCGTAGTTGGGTCTGAATACAGACCGAAGTATTACCATCATGTCTCCTAACAATACTCTCTATTCCTGATTGACCTGAGTTTCTGAGAAAGCTTCCATCAAAAGAAAGTCACCACGTAATTATGGCTGAAGTGGCTGAATGAATGACTTATTGCCTAGTCTTTTAGTGGACAAATTAAATAATAGAATAAGCAACAAAAATAATTAAATAGTAGATCTTTGGTAATTATTTTAAATAATAGAACATTTAAGAGTATATTAATCAATTGATCTTCAGTTTCAGCAATTAAAGAGCTCGCAATCTCCTTAATTATTCACTACATGACAAAGCAATAAGTCATTCAGTTCAGCTGCTTCAGCTGTTAACAAAAGGCCCTTAAGTTTAGAGGGTGAGCATAAGTATGAAAGAGTTATGATGGCCAGATATGGATAGAGACACAGAAATGGATATGGGTACAGGTGTCCTATGTAATATACTTCTGTCATGCGTTTAGATCTAGTTTTTAAAAGGGCTTTCAAAAAAAGATATAGTTTTTAAAAGCTAAATGTTAATTTCTAACATGTGCAGATATTTTTATAGCATAATTGTTGAAACATGCCACTTTACAATTTACATACTGTAAAAGTGGTAATGCAATAGGCCGCACCTAGAAGCATTTAATCAATATCTGGTATCATATCTCATAAGTATCAAATACGATACTGGTATGCTAAGCATGTATAGGTATCATAGTAAAGGAGTAAAACAAATTTGGATCGTTTTGTTGACCCTTAATCCTTCATTTTTGCCTCTAAAACACCCTGTCCCCATCTCTTTTCTAACTTTTAAGGCAGGTTTTTGTTCTCCTTTGTTGTCTCATCCTTGTCAAATGAATTAATTCTTATGAATCAGAAAATGGGGAAAGGAAAAAGAGAGGAGACAAATGATATTCTTGAACTTCTGTATACGTGGATGCATGAATGTAAATGTCGACCATGCTTAGGCCTTGCGATAATGGCTTCCGGATTTTATTTTTCATATCTTGGCTTATTATTCCTTTAATTCAAGTTATGGTTGGATCAATTAAAGAAGATCCTGAATCTTGGATCTGTCTTCATGTTATTAGGGAGTTGAGGTCATTTGTCTACCATGAACGTCTTATTTAAATGAATATGTAGGTATGCTAACTCCTTGATAGATTCTCTTGCTAGAGGAGTTAAAAAGGAATAATTGTATGGGAGACCTACCCTGGAGGTTAGGTTTATAGCAACTAGTTGAGTGGCATGTGCGTGAGAAGAGAGACAAGTAGAACTGTAGAATGCAGAGGGAGGAAGGTAAATAGATTAAATTTTTGAATGGTGGTCTGGACATTAAGCCAAGACAAGTATTGGCATTATGGCCTTGTTCATTTTCCAGGAAGTGGAGGCAGGTAAGTTGGTGGGTCCTATGGAAAAGAAATAAATCTGTGTCCGTGTTTTAGTATCAGTGGGTCCCATGGAAAAGAATGATTCCCAAGCGGCTCATTTACCTGGGAAAGTAATACCCCCTTAAGACTTGGGTAAATCACTTACCCATCTGCACTAAAAATTGCTAATACGTGATGGGACAAAATTGTCCCTTCAATGTCACTTTTGGATAAAACAGTCATTGTACAACTTTACCTGGGGCATGATGTTTGATTGGGGTAGCTGTCTGGACAAATGCATTTACCCAGGTAAATCACTTATCAAGACGCGAACGAGGCCTATATACTAAAGATAGGGCATGATGTTTGATTGGGGCAGCTGGCTAATCTCAGCTTAGTTGTCTTCTGTATTTCTTGATTCTTATTTCTTACAAATTAATAACATTGCTTCATTGGTTACTGATGTTTGAGATACTCTAATATTTGGTATTCTAATATTCTTTTCAGGTGCGCAAAAGACCTCTAAACAAGAAGGAATTGTCTCGGAAGGAGGATGATATTGTAACAGTAAATGACAATGCATACTTGACTGTCCATGAGCCCAAGTTAAAGGTTAGTGTTTTTCTGCTATCGTGGAATACATTACATGAACAGTCAAACCTGTATGGTTAATGCATAATAAGATGTGTGGTTCATGTTAATTTGATGTTGAACTAACTAAATTCAACTCTTGTTCACCTTTTCCTTTTTCTAATACAAATTAGTTACTCTTTTCTTTAAAAAAAAGCTAAGTAAATTCTTGACACCAGGTAGACTTGACTGCATATGTGGAGAAGCATGAATTTTGTTTCGATGCTGTTCTAGATGAGCATGTCACCAATGATGAGGTAATAATAGTAATGTTGTCAGAGATTCTAATTTCCCATGCTACCCTTTTTCATGTGAGTAATGTCACATCTTATTGGTTTGATTTTTCATTTTGTCTTGCTTGGGACTGTTTATCTACACCATCCTGTGAATTACTCGGGCAATCTTATTTTCCTTCCTATTTTAGTTTCATTTTTGGTAACTGATAAAAACTAACCAGTTTGAATCATAGGTTTGATTGCCTCTGATTTGCTCATTTAATTGCCTTTAACCTGCTCATTTAGTTTAGTACATTTTTTTATTGCTTCTAACCTGCTTGTTTGAACAGGTATATCGTGTTACAGTAGAGCCCATTATTCCTACTATTTTTCAACGAACAAAAGCTACATGTTTTGCATATGGTCAGACAGGTGCGTAGAGATCCGGATGTTTCCTTTCTCATATTGCACTCTGGAGTGGTGCCTGGCTTGAGTGAATAATATGAAGGGTCAGTGACCTGTTGCATTCACGATTGGCAGACTTTTTGTTTCTTCATTATTTAGCTATCTAGAAACGACTAATTTACTTCATTTTGTGCAAGAGCAATGATAGGGTGATAGAGCATTATCAAAAATAAATAAATAAATAAAATAATAGGGTGATAGAGCATTATCAAAAATAAATAAATAAAATAATAGGGTGATAGAGCTGTTTTCCTCTCTTATGCTGCTCTTTTCAAGTAATAAAATAATAACGATTGGTTCTATTTTGTATCCTTCACAACCCTACCCACCTTATAGCTCAACTTCATCAACAATGTTGTATTGGATCAATTGTCTCCTGCAACTTTAGATTCTGGAAAATTCTGAAGCAACTGTGATCATGCTATGCATTCCAGCTGCAGTGTCTTTAAAGTGGAAAGTTGGTAGAAATAACACTACTTGGTTCTGGTGTTGCCAAAATTGTACATTCTTGTACCTTCACTCAGCAATACCAGAGCCAAGTAGTTATTTCTTCCAACTTTCCACTTTAAAGATGCTGCAGCTAGAATTTCCATAGTTCCCTTCATCAATTTGAGCCTCTTCGTAGAGTCATTATCATCTAAGCCTTGTCCCAACTATACAAGATCGGCTACATAAATCATGTTTCCCCATTCTGTTCTGTTGCCATATCCATTGTTAAATTATGACTGCTTAAATCATTTCTTACTATTTCAACCCATGTCCTTTTCAGTCTGCCCCTACTCTTCTAGCCTCTTGCTAGAGTATGTACAAGAAAGAAAAACAAGAAATTACATAATTGCACTATCTTAAGAAGACTCAATAACTCCTAAACTATGTTATGTGCCTTAGGAGAACTCACCCCTAAAAGCTATCTGCTAGAGGGAGGGAACCCAAGCACATAAATACCCAACAACAGCATCCCATACTACCAATATGGGACAAATGAATTACAACATTCCACCATGCTCCGCAGTTCCAGCACCCACGCAGGCCGGCTTTGCACTAGTCCTAAAAGCTAGCTGTTAGAGGGAGGGAACCCAAGCACATATATACCCAATAGCAGCATCCCATACTACCAACATGGGACAAATAGATCGCAACGTTCCACCATGCTCTGCAGTCCCGGTGCCCATGCAGGCTGGCTTTGCACTAGTGCACCTAGTCCTGGCCGAACACTGCAATACTAACGTCACCACCTGCGCTGCATGATTGCAACTGGGAGGCATAGTGTAGGCTCTAATACCATTTGTCATGTGCCTTAGGAGAACTCACCCCTAAAGCTAGCTGTTAAGAGGGAGGGAACCCAAGCACATATATGCCCCACAACAGCATCCCATACTACCGATGTGGGATACCTCACATTAGCCATCCCATGCTACCAACATGGGACAAATGGATCGTAACAAACTACTTAACCAATGACTCGGTGACTTTAAACGCAACCAAACTATGACCAGACAAATCAAACTCTTAGGCTGGATCCCACAAGTTTGTAAATTGGCCAAAATACCCCTGCTGTCTAAAAATAAAAATTATGCAAAATTTTCAAAAAAAAAAACCATATTCCCTCTCACTTGGTACATTGGTTTGTTGAGATTTCTTTATAAACTCTCACCCTGCCTTGGAAAGATGTCTACAAGAATTGTAAACATAGCAGTGTTCCTGAAACTTTTGCTATGTATTGTGATGATGAAAATTGAAATACCTATATACCATAATTTTCAGGCAGTGGCAAGACATACACCATGCAACCGCTACCACTAAGAGCAGCAGAAGACCTCGTCAGACTGTTGCATCAGCCAACCTACCGTAATCAGAGATTTAAGTTGTGGCTTAGCTATTTTGAGATATATGGTGGGAAACTCTTTGATCTGCTCAGTGATAGAAGGTCAGTCTTCCTTTCTGCTTTTGGCTTTGGTGCATCCTTTTTATGTTGAGAGTTCAGATGCAAAGTTATTTTGAGCAGTTATTTGTCTGAATCTTTTATCATTTTCTTTTTTTTTGGGGGGGGGGGGGTGTGGATGCTTGGGGTGGTTGAGGTAGGTGCATGGAAGTGGAATAATGCACAAAAATCTAAAATGTCCTTTAATTTTTCTTGGTAAGCAAATATCTGAAATATTCTAAATATTTAACCAGGAAACTTTGCATGAGAGAAGATGGGCGACAGCAAGTCTGTATTGTTGGACTGCAGGAGTTTGAAGTCTCGGATGTACAAATTGTTAAAGAATATATTGAGAGGGGAAATGCAGCACGAAGTACAGGCTCTACTGGTGCCAATGAAGAATCTTCAAGATCACATGCTATTTTGCAACTTGCTATTAAGAAGCATAGTGAGATAAAAGAATCAAAAAGACACAATGATGGAAATGAATCCAAGGGTGCAAAGGTTATTGGGAAGATCTCTTTTATTGATCTTGCTGGTAGTGAACGTGGTGCTGACACTACTGATAATGACCGACAAACAAGGTATGTCCTGGGTTCTTTTACCCCCTCCCCCACCCCCCAAAGAAAAGAAAATAAGCTTGTCTTTGTTGAGTTTCCTGTAAAATGGAATATTTCTTCTTTTCCATTTTCATTTCTGCTTTATCTGTGAATTTATGTTCTGAGATTGTCAACTTGTTTGTGGACTGGTCTTCTGATTATTTTTCAGATATTCTACATTTACATTTTAGTTCATTACCTGCTATATTCACTGAACACATTGTGTACTTGTTGGCTAGACTACAAGAACACTTTGTAGATGGCATGCCATTTAATGCATATCCAGGAGGTGGTTTTGCAAGTAGATTGATTCCAACATGCAAAGACTTCAATCCAGTCGAATACATTTTCAATTCAGCAAAACAAATATAACATGTTGCTCTGTCAAATAAAGCAATTGTTGTGGACATCCTACAACTTTTTGATGTATGAGATGTTCAAAGGATTCTCCTCTTCTTGGAGGACTTGTACCACCCTTCTTTGTCTAATTCTTTCTAGACCATCCTATATCCTAGCCGCTTTTTTATGTATAAGATCTCCAAGGGATTTCTCTGTTTTTTCAGGGCATGTACCGCCCTGTTTTTTTCTTTTTCTATTCCTTATTTCTAGACCTCCCTACAATCATTTATACTTGTCCCAAGCTATGATTTCAGATGTCTTCTTTTTACTTGGATAACTGCAGGATTGAGGGAGCAGAAATTAATAAGAGCCTTTTGGCCCTCAAGGAGTGTATTCGTGCTCTTGACAATGATCAGATTCATATCCCGTTTCGTGGAAGCAAGCTCACGGAGGTTCTCCGTGATTCGTTTGTTGGCAACTCAAGAACTGTGATGATTTCTTGCATTTCTCCAAATGCAGGGTCCTGTGAACACACACTCAATACTTTGAGATATGCTGACAGGTATGACTAGCCCAAATGTTTCAGTGCTTCTACAAAACAATGTGTTTTGATTCTTTATTTTTTTCAACCGCTTCATAAAAGATGACTTTGATTGGACAGGGTCAAAAGTCTCTCCAAGAGTGGGAATGCTAAAAAAGATCAGGTCCCAAGTTCGTTACTTGCTAGTAAGGAATCTTCATCAACACCATCTTTGCCAGTGTCTGTTGAGCCAGAGGAAGGTTATGACCAAAACCAAGAAGTGAAAGTGGTGGATATGGGTAGAAGGGTCGGGGAGAAGGAAAGCTCCTACAATTCAACTTCTGATTTTGACAGGCAGCTCTCTAGTATGCCACCGAATTATCATTTCAATGGCAGGGAGGAAACTGGGGTAACTTCTGGTTCTCTGGATAGGGAGAGGATTGACACGAGAAATACATTTGGTGGTAGCACCAGTCATAAATCATACTCTACTCAGAACACAAATGATACCTCCGAGGAGGAGAAAGTGCAAAAGGTGTCTCCTCCTCGTAGAAAAGTTAAGGAAGAAAGGTCAGTGAAGCAAGGAAACTGGCCTAAAAGAGATGGCACTGTATCCGACTTGTCAACAAACTACAAGCAGCAGAATACATATGATTCTACTGGAAGCAATGTTGCAGCAAAACAGTGTGAAGCTGAAGCTCCTTGTCATGATGGAGACATCAATGCAATACTTGAGGTAAGATAGTTACATCATGCTCACCAACTCACCATGCGGAAGCATCTTGTAAACATTAAGAACTTACTGTCTGTTTGCATCATGCTCACCAAGTCACCATACAGAAGCATCTCGTAAACATTAAGAACTTACTGTCTGTTTGCTGCTGCAGGAAGAAGAAGCTCTAATTGCAGCTCATAGAAAAGAAATTGAAGATACAATGGAGATTGTCCGAGAAGTGAGTCTTTTTTCTGTGTGATTGACCAGAACTTTTAACTTGCAACTCAATATTATTAGTAATTCAACTATAACCCCTTGCATATAAAATAGCCATCTTCCAAGCAAATTGCATCTTATTGTCAGAATACAGTCTGTAATTCCATGTCCGAGAAGTTATTTCAGTTCTATATAAATTTGCAGCATGTGTTTGTCTTGCCTCATTTCCCTTTTTTTTTCATTTTTCCATGGTGAAAATGTTTTTCATTTGAAATTTGTTTATTGGATTATATATAATGTTCTCTCAAAAATATTATATATAATGATCTTTTATGGTTTTTCTGCATTTCAGGAGATGAGACTGTTGGCAGAAGTGGACCAACCTGGTAGTCTCATTGACAACTATGTTACTCAGTTGAGTTTCGTCCTTTCACGTAAAGCAGCTGGTCTGGTTAGCCTTCAAGCTCGCTTAGCAAGGTTCCAGCATCGCCTGAAAGAACAAGAGATACTGAGTAGGAAGAAGGTTCCCCGCTAAGTCGGTTCTGTAAGGTTCTCCACCCAAGGCCTCCTTTGCTGGTCGTCTTATATCAACAGTGCTTGTAATCCCTTTTTCATTGTGTTACTTGTTGCCATACCACTGTTATCAGTTGTCAGAAGGTTGTCATATGTACAATTGCTACCCTTCCCCCACTTTTTTCTTCCTGGGGGAGATGTCATATAATCTGAATTTCTGTATTCTAAGCGAAGGGGTTATATTCTGGAGGTGTTAGGACTGTATGTGGCTTCAGCGTCATGATGCTCATCAATTTGCAACAAGTATCTGGCTTTCTGCCCTTGGAGAAACCATGGTTGAGTTTTGGAATGTCTTCCAAGCAGATTGTTGTGTAAACAAATGTCATTTTAGTTGAGAGTTTCGTATGTTATTTACATTTTGATGGCTCCAAGGAAAATTGGGTTGTTATTGTTGGAATACAAGTTAAACAGAGCAGAGACCAAAACAAAAAGTGAATTTGCAGGAATTTTACCGAGTTCCTATCTGTTACTGGAATTATACAAAATTCTATATCTAGATCCTGGTTAACAAAGTATCTAACGAAGGTAAAAAATTCATTTTTAGATGGTGATCACATCACAGTAGATCATGCATACATGATACAACCAGGTATTACCCTCCCAAAATCCGGAACATTGTGAAAATCTTCTTTCTCCGGATTTCTAGTTTCTATACCTCTAAAGCCAAGCATTTTACCAAAACAACCCAGTAGAAAATACGTGCATTGCTCTTCTCCGTTCATTTTGTTTGGTATTTTGTGAGGATAAGTTGGACAACTGAGTAATTAACTACAATCCTCGCATTCTTACATCCCTATATTAAGTCATGGTAAGCAAATTCTTTGAAGATTACCCATTATGGATAGAATAGACAAGTTGATTATCCGTCCGTTGAAAACACTAACCCCTCTCAAACGTTGAAAAAGTTTAGCTGGATAAATTTAGTTAAGGGAGAATAACGGTTCAGCCCACGGTAAAGTACTGTTGGGGAAGATGTCAATTTATGAGGGGCATTGGTGCATATAGTGTGGGTATTTGACATTTTGAATGCGTGAAATCAAAAATCTGCAGTGAAATAAAAAATGCTTACCCAGGTTAGAGTTCGGATTCAGTCGGGGCAAAGCCCATTCATGCAACTTTTAATGCCTTGCATTGAAAATATCTCAGTACTTGTGTGCTTTATTGTAACCTTGCATTAGGAATATCTCTCCATAGTTCGGAGATATTCTCAATGCAAGGGAGTAAAAGCCGCCCGAATGGGCTTTGCCCTGACTGAAGCCCAACTCAGGTTAGGGCTGTGAAAAAAAATAAAAGCAAATTTAAAAGCATAGGTGTGGTGCTTTGCATATGTTTTCAAGGCTGAGCAAACAATTAATTATAATAAAAAGAAATTTAAGCATGAAATCCTTCATTAGTAGTCCTTGATAACCCTTTCTCTTCTAATGTAATCAATAATTGAAACTAGTTTCCAAGTACATCCATCCAACACCATTTCTTATCATCGAGGGAACCAAGGGAAATGAAATGAGCACAACATAAAAAAAAAATCACCAAACAATTTCCTGATCGGAACTGGTTTTCCGTTCAACTGGACGAGAACAAGGGGGTTTTATCTCTATTGATATAATATCTCTTGCATAGTTTCTCCAGAGTTGCAACTGAATGCTGCATCGCATTCAATTCCGTATCCATAAACATCCTCTGCCAATGACAAGTATACGTGTAAAGCCAATCGCATTGTCATACTTGCAAAACAAAAAACAAAAGCTAAATTCATTCCAGTTTCATGTTTCATCACACGGGCTCATTGCATTTTAAGCGAAAGCTAGAAACCTTTACCTGGTAATCATCTCCATATTTCTCAATCAGCCGGCCAATATAAACGCGTTGCATGGAAGTCAAAGGTTGCAGAGGAGCAGTTTTCCCATCTCTTCTTTTCTTCCCAAGTGCTGATTTCAAGTCTAGACCCAACCGAAATCAACAACAGTCAATTAGCAGCAGGGGAACCACAAACCAACACAAGTGTATTTTAATGTGTAGTCTCGGTTTCACAGGCACAGAAACACGAAATTTAATTGAAACTCTAGGGTTTAATTCGAATTCTCTCATTCTGTCTTTCAAAAAAACAAAAATCTTGATTTAGGGGTTTCGTCCCCCTCCCCCAGTGAAAAAAAGAAAGAATAACCTTTTCTGGTCTGAGCAAATAGCATTTGAGTCGGAAACCAGCTCTCCAACCCCAATCATTCATTAGCCAAATGACTAGCCTAGCACCCCTGACCAGAAAAGGTTGCAAGCTACACTTTAATAGGAGACCGACCTCCAAATCTAAGCTTACGGAGGCTATTCTAAAAACATTACCCATAAAAGCTTTCCTAGCCTATAATGGTCAAGAAAGTATACGAGATGATGGGCACTGTAAGAGCCCACAGAAAACCTGCAGCAGCATTCATGATTTTTCTACCTTTCTTGATTAATCACCTTATCGACAACGTCACTCGTCAGTATCGGAACCATAGATCGAGACCCGTTCTTCGATCTTTTCTCCATTCGGATCCTCGCCAAGGTTTTTGCCACAACCCACCTCCTAAAAACCCTAACCCCCTATAAAAAAGTTCGGCATGAGCAAACAAAAACCTAAATTTAAAAAACACAAAAAGCCAGGATGGAGCTTACCATCTTCTTCGAGATCGCTGCCTGAATCGATGGGCTCGCACTCTGAGGTAGAATTAATGGTGGCGTCTGGTGGAGGGACTTGCAGAGAATCGCTTTCGATAATGTGAGGAGTACGAGATCGAACGCTAAGCAAATTAGGGTTTGAGACGACGCCCAAAGACTTGTAATTGTTGATAACAGTAGCCTGGTCGTCCCATTTGGAGAAGTCCACAAGGGAGCGGAGCTTTGGGGGAAGAGAGAAAGCTGGTTTGAAGACGTGAGGGTTCTTCCGCGGCAGACCTACTTGCACCTTCGGCCTTGATTTCTTGTACTTTCTGCGTGACCGACCCATCTCTTCTCAGTTCTCACTCACTTTCTCCCTCTCTCCCTGAGTGTGAGGGGTTCCACCTATTAGGGCAACTAAAACCCTGCGGGAAACAAGGAGTAGAGGCGTTGAAGGTTATTTAAAACTTAAAAAGTTAAATGTGACATGGGCTGGACCCTTAAATTAATGGAGTCGGGCCAATGCTAAACTAATTAGGTGGTAAATCTAAAATTTCAGATTTGAAAAGTTAAAAAAAAAAAATTTTGTCTGAAATCTGAAAAAAAAAATAGCTGTTTTCTTACTTTTTAGCTGAATCCATAAGTTTGTTTGTATATCAATCTTTTACCATCTGAAATTTATTGATTTTATTATTTTACCCCTAAAATATACTATTTGGAAATGTTGAATTCAATTTGCATTATCTCATAAAAAATAGTTTTCAACATCAAAATAATATTGAAATAATACAAATAATAAATAATAAATAACACAAAGCAAAATTAATAAAAAATTAAAATAATTAATAATTAATAATAATTATAAGGGACCGAGAGAGTGAGTGAGAGAGAGAGAGAAAGAGATAAAGAGAGAGAGAGAGAGTTCTTTGTAGTAGACCTATTCATGGGCCGGGTAGCCCGACACTTCGGTCGGGCTTGGTCATGTAATTAGGCCCGCGGGCCTAACCTCGGGTCTAACACAGTAAGCCTGACTGTGTTTTGGGTCGGGCTCGGGATTTGTCAAAAAAGCCCAGCTCGACTCAGTATTATATATTTTATAAAATATATAATATGTATTTTATATATTATATAAAATATAAAACTAATATAATATTTATCGAAATATATATTTATAATTTAATATATATATTTTTTATTCTTTTCTTTATAATCTCTCTTTCTCTCTCTCTCTCTCTCTCTCTCTCTCTCTCTCTCTCTATATATATATATATATTCAGTCGCTTCAATAGTAGTAACAGTATGGGCTAAATTTTGGGCTCGGGCCCAGGCTTGGGCTTTGGGCTTTTTATGAGGACTGGGCTCGGGCCCAAGTTGTAGGCCTGATGGTCAGGCCAGGCTCGGACTCGGGCCTTAGAAAATCTGTTAATACAGAGTGAAAGCCCGGCCCATGAACAAGTCTACTTTGTAGGGTTGATTTATTTGGCTTTTTTTTTTTGGTATTGGCTTATTGGGCATGGTTTTCAAAATCGAACCATAAAAACTGGGAACCGGTTAGGTGACCAATTCCGTTTTACCCCAAAACCATTCCCCAAAAACCGTTGATTTGGTCAGCAAACCACTGACTGGGGCGATTGAACCGTTTGAATCGTTCAACGGTTTGGTCGGATTTTATTTTTTCGTCAGAACAAACTGCCCATTCAGTTCAAACGGTCAAACCGTTCAACCCGAGAACCAAACCCCTGACCGGTTCGGCTTTAAAAACCTTGTTATTGGGCTAGTTAAAACTGGAAGGAAAACCACTTGTATATCATACAACCAAAAATCGAAAACCAAAGATGATTTTTTTTTTTTGGTAGTAATCATTGCCTGACACTTGCACAGGGGAATTATTCTTTTATTAAAATTCATAAAATTTTCCCTTCCCTATATATATATATATATATATATATATATATATATATATTCGGTTGTTATGAATTTATGTATTTTCTACATTTTCTACTTTTTTATTGAAATATATATATTTTTATTTTTTTATCATTTTCTTTGTTTTTCTACATTTTTTTTCATTTTTACTTGAGATATATATTTTTGAAAATTTTATCATTTTATGTATTTAGAAGCCATATATAAAACTTTTTTTTGAAAATTTTATCAATTCAAGCAAGATATAGGTGACTCTTTTCAGGGTATTTTGGTTAGTGTAAAATCAAATGTTTTCACCTAATGCCAATCTTAATATTTAAAAATGTTGAGATAATGATATCAGCAATTTCAGCTATCATTCTATTAAGATGTAGATGCAACCCTGTCAGAAAATTTAGGGAAGGACAATGCTATTAACATAAAGTAGGGTATTAAACTGCAATTGTCAAAAATGTACAGTGCAAATAAGATATAATATCTGAAAAACTTTTGACCAATAAACTGGAATCATAAATGTAGTAGCCAATCAGTTATCCAAATTCATGGGTGAGTTTTGATTGGTCAAAACTCTATCTATTTGTACATTTAAATTTGTACTCCTATAAACTGAGACTGTTTTCTTGGAAGGCATAAAGCACAATCACTTATTTAGTTTGGGTCCCGGAGATTACTCAATTCCATCTGAGCTGTGGACATTATTATTTTCGGAAGCAAAGTAGCAAGTGTTGGAATGCAAAACGATTTCATTTCACACGGCATCAGAAAATACTTCTTTTGCCAAGTGCTTATATGGCATCTATGAATGTTGAATCACCCATTTATTTACGAGTTTTTTTTTTTTTTCAATTTACAAGTTTGAATCCTCTACGGCTACTCTATAAACTCCATATGCATAGGTCCCACACACCTCACGTCAGGTTGACTTGGTGTTATCATGATTGACACAATATTCTTCAGTTTCCCTAGAGAATTTCAAGTGTTTACTCACCAAGACTGAAATACTTCCCACTCCCTTTAAAGAGGAGGGAATGCTCCTTTGTCCTTTCCACGTTGTAATATCCACCATGGAAAGGACTAGGGAGCAACTTTCTTTTTATCCTTTATAAAAAAGAAGAAAAAGTGAGCTTTTATTGGATCAATTGGAACAAAAATCAGAGGATACCTTTGCATAACAATGTGCACAAATGTCAAAGACCAAAGTCACCAAAAATGAAAATTCAAAGGCAGCAGTGAATCATTCATTACAATTGCGGATTGGATATAAATTTTATGTGAAAATGACTACAATCATCAGAAAACAAAAAAGGCGAAAAGACAAACAAAAACAGAAAACAAAACAAAACTAAAACAAAACACCACAGGCTGCTCTAGAAATATATAGCCTCTTCTTCAAATCCTCCCAGCACTCTCACCGCTCACAAATATGAAATACCACTCTGCCAAGCCTTTTTTTAACTTATTATGTACAAGCCACTCTGTCCCACCTGGCATGCCAGTAAACTACCCTAACTGGATAGTAGTAGTCCGCTGAACCAAACATGCGGAATCTCTTTGATTTCCCGGCAGCCAATCCAGGACCCATATATATAGGAATTGGGCATCTCCAATCATGAAGGACTAACCACTGCTATTGTAGTGATTACATATCAACACATCTCCATTATCATAGTGATCACATATCATTCCACCTCTGTGGCTTCAAATTACAAATTCATCTTCAGGGATCACTCAGCTTTCAACCACAGAATTTCTTTGGCAGTCCTCCTCCGGAAATATGCCATATGCTCCTGCAATACAAAAATAAATCAACTAACAAATTATCTAAATTTCATGCTAAATTCATGCAGGATAACCAGTGAACAAGACTCCAATTGGCATTTTCCCTGTGAAGGAAGCAACTAGATGTAAGATGTGCAACAGAGATATTTTCACTACCTACAAGTTTTACTATCCATTTCTTTCACTAAAACGTTTATCCTGAACTTGCCCTTGCTGGATGTAACATTTTAACACCTAAGCGTGGGGGCAATCAAATCAACCAAGAAGCGTGGAAGGCTAACAATCTCCGGCAACAATACTTTCGTAATGAATTAGTGCCTGTTTAGGAGGGTTTTACCTGAGGTTGAAGCATTTTCACAGCCCTAGATAAAATATAGGAAAAAATTTAATTACCATTGACTTCAATCTTAAGATGATTTCCTAAACCGAAGCTCAGCTCGGATAAGCACTAATTTAGGAGGCTGTCAATATACTGCTTTTGGCTTTTGTAAGATGGGGCCCGCCAGGAAAGCCTATAAGCACTGTATGGTATAAAATTGAGAGCCCAAATTGATTATTTTTAAGCAACTTACATGGATTTCTGTCGAAGCTTCTTTTAGTGACTTCAATGCAGCTCAGGTAAAGCAACTCAACCAAAGCTCAAGCCCTCCGAAATGGGGCCCAAGAATTCTAGCAATCAGCCAAATATCCAATTATCTTTTCTTTGGATATAGCAAGAAATATAATGAAGCGCTCCTATAGCATGCATCCATGCATCAGATGGTCAAAATCATATGATCAACCCAAGATCTTTTGCCAAAAATATCATATGTAGGGTCCAGTAATGGCATAATTGCATGCAGTAATGTAAACCATGTCAACATTAATCAGTAGGAACTGCCCTAGATATGGTGTTCTAGTTTCCTTGTAGATTTGTAATGTGTAATTTTTTCATGGTAATGTGCATGTGGTTGTGAAATGAGCTTTCCTAAATCTTCTTCGTTCTGTGAGAGATGGTTACCATTCTGGTCAATGTGGTCCTCTGCTAACCCTAAGGGCTTTTTGACAATGTGACATAAAGCTATTAGAAGGATTTTCAACACCGGAAAATTGTGAGATGAAGAGAAATTACATTTCACAAAATCCCTTAGGGTTTCCACATTTAAATTCCCAGAACATGAAAAAATTCATTAACTACACAAGCAACAAGTGTAAATACTGTTTTGTTTTCTCATAGGGTAAACATGGCACTTTTATTTCACAACCTGCCCCTCTATCTATAAGACAGCTTTCTACCTAGTTCCACTCAACCATGCAGTGCAAAGCCACAAAGTGACAATGGTGGTGTTTGGTATGGCTTCCATTTATTTGATAAATGGTGCCATGTCATCGCCAAATCAACATTTGTCCCATCATGCTGATTTGTACACATAGGTATTGATAAAAGTTGGTCTTGATTTATGTGTGCGCCAACTGTTGGGGGAAGCTTCATTTTAACGCCTCCCCCAACGGTTAAGTGTTTATTCACTGTTCCACTAATGTGGTGCCTAGTGGTGTCTAGTTGTCAACAAATCTCAGAAAAACATTTACCAACCACTTTTTCTCAGTTTTGAAGACAAATCAAGTACAAATGTTTATTTAATAAACGGAAGCCATGCCAAACATATACAATATCTTGGCTTTCACAAGGGGCAGAATACTGGCATGAATGGTACTGCAGACCAGGGCAATTGAGAAAGTTTCCTAGGTTATCTATGAAACCTATTTATTTAATTAAGATTTGGGGATTAGTTCAGGTACATTGCAGACCACTATCAGAATGAAGCTTTCCATAAAGCTGTGGACAAGGAAAACAAGAATTTGAGGCACCAACATGCTGACGTGTGAAATTCCTGGATGGTATAAACCTCTTTCCTAAATGACCATAGGAAACTTATAGTTTATTACTTATAAATTATAATATACATGACACAAACACACCAAGAAACTCACCCATACAGCCATATATTAAACTAAAAGCAAATTACCTGCTTGAAACACAGTCCTAAATCTCTGCTATAGAAGTCAGCATATTTGATCATGAACACGCCACAGTCCCACCTGAAATGGAGCAGAAAAGCTTTACTCAGACACCCTGGTGAGCAGATTGGCCGATATGTATCATATTGGTGGGTGACCAATATGCCAAAAATTAACACATTGTCTAAGCAATACAGTCAATAAAAAATGCAATGTTTATGAGCAAGTAGAAATGATTTCAAGAAAGTAGCATCAAAACTGATATAGTCAACCAAAAACGCTCAATATCAAATTTATATTTATATCTATACTACTATTAAAAGTAGTAATGACGTGAAAATTTTGACTATAATACCCCCCCATCTTTGAATTTGGACCCTCTCTAATTCTGAGGGCATTCCAACTACAACTTTTCACTTCATTTAATTCCCTCTCATTAACTCTTATGTTTAAAGTAATAACTCCCATTCTCTCTCACTGAATCCCATATCTAAAGTATTTCCTCATCAATAAATTCTATGAATTAGATATAAACTCAATACTTTTAATAATATAAAACCCAAGCCCCTATCTTTGAATTTGGTCCCTCTCTAATTCTGAGGGCATTCCAACTACTACGTTTCACTGTAAAAAAAAAAAAAAACATTTGGGCACATCTCTAATATTAAATATTCATCATATTAAACAAAAATAAGTGTGATAAATAAGATCACATCATCTAAAATTGTCACAAACCAAACGTTCACATTTGCTAGTAAAAAACATTTGGGCACATCTCTAATTGACCCATGTTTTCTCCTAAAATACTCTCTTAATTACTTTCTATTCATTCATGTGGGTCAGTTAGAAAGAGGCAACTTGGACTATTTACGGGTATAACATACAAACATCATACATTTATACCTGATAAACCTAAGGAAATAAGGAAGAATGTTGTGGATTGCTTTCCAAGGTGCTGCCAAAGTAGCCCGAAGTGATACAACAGCATCCTAACCACTCTCCAATCTCCCATGGATACTGCCGACCAGTGTTTTAAAAGGCGTGGGAGGCGTACACCTGGAGGCGCTCCCAAAACGCCCTGAGGCGTATGCCAGAGACGCTGACACCCTCTGAGGCGTACGCCTCATGTGCTTTTTTCATGAGGCGTGCTAGAGGTGTGCGCCTCATGCACATCTTATATAAAAATACAAAAAAAAAAAAGAAAAAAGAAAAAAAAGGAAAGGAAAGAAAAAGAAAGAGAAGAAAAAAAGAGAAAAAGAGAAAAAATGTGATCCCCTTTTCCTCTTCATCCTCCTCCCCTTCCTCCACCTAACCCCCCTCCTCTTAAGGAGGCGTAAGCCTCCTTATGTTCGGGAGGCTTACACCTCTTGTGTTTTGAATTATGCCTCACGCCTCTAGGTAGTGGAACGCCTCGCGTCACGCCTCCGTGTTTTAAAACATTGCTGCCCACCACCTCATGCCATAAGCTATCCCTCTCTAAAGGCCATCCCCATAACCACTTCCCTAATAGAGCCATATTCTTCTTTCTCACATTCCCAATTCCTAAGCCACCCTATTTCTCTTCTCCTAAAATTTCTCCTAAACCATCTTCCCCATCTAAGCCTTCCTCCTAAAACACCTCCTAAACTATCTTGCATGCCCAATAAACCATCTAATTCTAATGTCTCTTTCCCTTCCCCTATCTCTCTATCTATTTCTATCTCTATCTCTCTCGGACTTCCATATACATGCGTTTAAGTTTTCATCAATGTACTAAAATATTAATGTTTAAGTTAAAACTTAAATATTGAAATAAGATGAGTAAAGAATAAATGTAAAGTAATAAAATTTAATAATTAAGTAAAAATATTATTATCATTATAAATAATATTTTATTCTAATAGTTATAAAATCCATCTCCCACTCCATGGGATGTTTTTGGCCCCACACATCACTATTTGTATTGACGTTGAAGCACTATTATGTTCATTGAGGGAACACTATCGCAAGAAGATGGGTCAATTAGATAAGTCTAATGGATTACCCCAATTTATTTAGTTATCGATTCGAATATATCTTGATTGATCCATTTCAGTTTGCCAAATCTGTAATATAAATTTTTAGAAAGTAAATCTTGAAAATAAATATTATAAAAACTATTAATTTCATGATTAACTAACACAGCTTGTTAAAATATTAATTAAAAGTTCAATAAAATATTCTTTTGTTATATTTTCAGAAAATTTCTGTTAAAAATTAACTAATTTTTTTCTATAAAATATATTAAATTTTCACTACTAATATTTCAGTATATTGCATTTGCATTCTTTTACTATTTAAGATTATTACAGAAAAGGCAATCACTTTGGAATACTTTGCTGTTCTTTTTTCTAAGATTAATTGAAAAAAGTGTAAGAAATCAGACTTTGAAGCAATCTGAGATATGCTTTTATAGGCATTAATTTCTTAATCTTCCCTGTATATTTCCTCTTCTTAAATTAAGGTAATAAGGTATGCTTTTCTATACAATTTGGAACTATATTACAAACAAGTTATGTTGTCATGAAACTTCTCGCAAATTAAAAAGGAAACAATTATTGACCTTACGAATAACCATTTTACAGCTAGCTACAGTATGACTCAAAAAAACAAACACACAAAAAAGGAAAAAATAATTAAATGCATGCATACCCATTTTCTTGTTTAGGAAGGTCATCAACATATTCATGCTTCCAAGAACTTACGTCAATGCCTTCTCCACTTTTGTCATTTACTTCATCCACATAGTACCTAGCCTGAAAAATTAAAACAACAATAGAGTAGAGTTTATTTATCATTTTGGTTTTTGAAGATAAGTATACTCATTCATCCTTGCAAGCTCATAGCACATCACAGAGTTTAACTTAGACAAATTAAATTATCAAGGATTTTTCATTACAAGTCTAAAACTTGTTGCGCTTTTAGCCTATGCAGATCTAACTTCCTTAAAATCAGAAGTTGAATTTTTGTTTACATGTATGCAGTTCATGTCAGGTTACAACATGAAGTTGTGAAATATGCAGTTAGCCTAATGCATATCAAACAGAATGCTCTACCCTGTTAACACAGGGCAGGAAAAAGTTGCACTTAGCCTAATGCATACGTACAGATGACTAGATGAGTACCATGAGAATGCTCTACCCTGTTAGCACAGTTTCTTTTGTTCTCAATTTAATCTTTTTTTTTTCACTCCAGTAGGATTCCTTACAACAAAGAAAGATACCATATTAATATATATTATATGGTTTGCCAATTTATCTACATGTAATGTTTTGGGCATGCTCTTTGACTTTTAAAATGTCTCTATCTCCATCTATTGATCTTAAATGCATGTATGAATGTAAACATGTATACACATGATGACATGAATACATGCACACATATGTTATATATGTAGCAACTACATTATTAAAGTATTAAGCCTACAGTAATTCTAATTTGAGGTCAATATTTTTTTGATAATTAAAGAAATTTATTGAAGCAGAAAAGCAACAAACCGATACATAGGGGATAAGGATTAGCCCTTAACCCATAAAATAGCCAGCCCTCCTAAATAAAAATGATAGAATCCCACTTATTACAAAAATTTGAAACTGAACCCATACAAGTTCCTTAAGGACAAGAGATGACAAGGATGTTATTCTTTTAATTAAACCAATCAAACAGTGCAGCTTAGTTCTTTGTCCTTCAAAACTTATTCAGTTCCACTCTATCCAAATACACCAAAAGATAGTGAAAGGAGATAAGGTTCCACAAGATGCTTCCCTTTTTGCTAAATCCAATTGACTGCCCATGAGTCCACTAAACACAGTAGGACTACGTCAACAGGGATGGCCCATTGATAGTCAAATAAATTGATAAAATGCCACCAAATAGAGGAATGAGGAAGAGGAACTACAATGAATAAGGAGATGCCAAACTGATTCTGAGGTGTAGTTGCAGAACATGCAACCATTTGTCAAAGCTTTTTCTCTTGCAATCAAGTTGTCAATGGTGTAGTTTACTGAATGGAGTAGAATAGTGTGTAAGACTGCAGAGATATCAGATCAAATCGGATATACATAGATCCAGATTTGATTCATTCATATTCACATTCAAATTGAACCCATCTTTTGGATTTATACTGGAACCAAATCAAATTCAGATTGAATCGGATATTGAATGGTATTAATAAACTAGACTAAAAGTGATAAAAAAATTATATATTATATTATATAAATAAAATCAACTATTTTTTTTGCCGCATAAAAGAACTATATTACTCCAGGTGGTCAAAAAATATATACAAGCCGTCTTCTAAGTTCTAACCACATGGGAGAATGATCAAACCAACAAAATGAATTAAAAATAACATGTATAAAACTTGAACCTATGACACTTTAGCAAAGATACAACGTTCAAATCAATTTTACTAATGGAAACAATAGTATATATAAGATTCAGCTTACAAAATGATAATCCTTGGAAAGGCATTTCTTCTTATAGCCAATTTTTATTTCCCTTCATAAGATTCAGCTTAGGGTATGGTAATTGTATTAAATTCTGGACTGATCTCTAGCTGGGCCAACAACCTCATTGTCTTCCCTACCCTAATCTCTATTGCCTTTCTTTGAACAAGGAAATTGTAGTTTCCTTGCTTTTGCCTAGAGGAGAACAGGGTCTCTCATACAATTTCAATGTCCAAAGAGCATTGGCTGATAGTGAGCCCAAAATATCCTCTCTCCTCAATATCTTCCTTGCCCCTCTAATCCCAGACAAATGCATTTGGTCCCCATTTTCAAATGATCTGCTTTCTATTATGTCCTACTTACCACAAGTTGGTGGTGGTTTCCTCTATCTCATCCTTCCCGGTCAAAAAGATTTGGCTGCCCACGGCCCCTCCTAGAGTCTCTTTTTTTACTTGGAAGGCTGCTTGCAAAGGGATTAACACCTATGATAGATTTTTCGGAAAGAGTGGCAGCTGTATGAAGGTGCAGTTTATAGCAGCATTTCCTGGATCTCTTTCATAGAAACAACTTCTACTAGGCTCCCCCTAATTCTATTTGTGACTTGTTTAATCATTAGCCAGATGTAGGTTGGGGAATGGGGGCTCTCTATTAGACAAAGCTATTATTCATGCTGTGATGTGGGTCATCTAGGAGGGGGAAAAAACAAAAGAATTATTAAGAACAAAAATATTTTTCTTGATGAACTTAAAGAAAGGGTGCTTTTTTAATCACCTCTTGGATGCTAGACCATAAGGCATATAGAGGTATTTGACAATGTTGTAAGACATGGACCAGACTGGATGGTTGGACCATAAAACTTGGGAATTGGAAGCTGTTCTGGTTTTTCTAATATCCCAAATTTTCAGATTTCTGAAAACCAACAACACCAATCAAAACCCAGTGGAACCATTGAAAACCAGATGCATTTTAACGACCCAGCTAGTTTTAATGATCTGTTTGGGACACTAATCGCTACAAACTTTAAAATACATATACAGATGAAACGCCTCTGCAAACATACCAGTACTTTTAGCACCTGGCTATCCGTGCCTTTAAGTGAATCAAGATACTGGAACTTTTCATCCTTTTTGTTGATAACTGCTAGGCACCAATGTATCTCTTTGTGTATTGGAACAAATATCTGCAAGTATATTAACAAAACCAATATAAAGATTATTTCCATGTAAAACAAGTTAAGAAAATACTCATAAAGCATTCAGAAGGGTAACAACAACTTTACTTTGTCACACTCAATAAGGCCGTACCCTATCTTCCTCTGAGTAGTCCATCTTCTAACGGCCTTGAAATCATAACCACTCCTCCCACTAATCAACTAGACCATAGAACCAGTAATAGAAAAGGAGAAGAGTAAACAGTAAAATATCAATAAGCTTTATTAATTGCAATCAGCCTAAAGTATTAAAATAGAAGTCAGTAATATAATAACAAAAGTTATAATCACAAAATAAATGGTTATCCACAGGGGCAGAGCCAGGGGGACTGAGGGGAGCCTTGGTCCCCACCCCAATGCCTCAAAATTTCCCATAATCCCCACTTCTATTATTAGTATAATAGACCAATGGTTGTTATAGTCACCCCTCCCCCCCCCCAAAAAAAAAAGGCCCCACCCCCCTGGTTATCCAAGCATTTTAGCCTGGATTATTCAGAATCAACGTGTTAGGGAGCTCCATTCATCAGGATGAAGGGGGGATTAGCAGAAAAAGCCTACACACTTGAGGAGATCATACAAAGAAGTGTCTGCTATTAAACAATAGAATATCTTGTAAATTGCCACTAACACTAGTAGAAAATGCTATCAGTAAATGCAATTTTCTAGCTTACTTGCACAGAAACTCTCTAGATTAGTAATGCTTGGTGCATCTTGACGATCTAACCAAAGATCCTAATAGTGGAGTAATGGCAATATGGTATGGTATGGGAAGCGTCCCTTGAACCCAGCTGTATAACCTTTTGAAGGTGTGTTTGGAGAACTATTTCAAAAAACAGTGTTGTTAGTTGCATCCTTGAATACTAGTTAGTAAGCATATCACAATATGACAGCTATGTCAAACAAGCAATAGAGTAGAGGAAAATGAAGAACTTCAACTAAGAACCTCTGTTGCATTAGAATGCATATGCCAACACTGATATTTGATTCATTTAAAATAATCCATGCAGCATAGTCTCCAAACATGTGAAAAATTAATTAAGTAGAAACTAATTCTAAAACAACTTAAACATAATTAAGACGAAAAAAAGACAGAGTAGATTATGGAAAATAGAAGCCAACCTTTTTATAGAAGAATGTGTTGAAAAAATGGCATTTCAAAAACTTCTTTGGTTCTCTTTTTTCCCTCTCTTTTAGTAATTCGAGGTACATGTTTATGACCTATTAATAGAATGCAGAAGCAAAAGAGTATCAATCAAATAGCATGAAAACTTGAATACAATTTCTAAAACGTGTCAAATCAGACAATTACAGGAAGACACAAATAAAAACTTAAAAGGGAAAAAGAGCACCTCATCATTCAGCCAGGCACCCGGTCCTAAGCATTGCAAAATTTCTCCAGTAATCTGAATATTAGAATTCTCATGAGTAACTAATACTTTCCTCCTGCACAAGTAGAAATAAATACAATATCACTACCAAAAAACATGATGTATGACAAAATAATACCATATACATCAGAGTTATACCTATTGGAGGGGGAAAACGCACGATCAATCTCAGCCTCTTCCTCTTCAGTAAGAGGAAGAAAAGGCTCCTGAGGTATATCCTGAAAATTACTTAACGAATATTTAGGTGCAACAAGACAATAAATCAAAACAATAATTAGAAGAACAAATTATCAAACAAGTTATACCTCTGATTTCTTTGGTAGACGAAGTAATGATAAGGCCGCTAACTTTTTCTCGTTTAATTGGATCTCAAAGCCTAAAAAACTCAATCTGGAATTCCTTTTCTCAGCAGACTTGTGCAATTTTTTATGAGGAAGCTCCCCCAGCTCCTCCACTCCATGGCTTACAACTAGAGGCTCCATCTTTTCTGCTTCGTCCACTTTTGGAGTAAGATTGGTCATATTAGATACTGCCGATGAGGACTGCTGGAGCTTATAACTTGGAAGCTTTGCATAAGCGTCTCGCAGAAATACATCTCCACTGGTCTCACGAGGCAACAGGTCCGAACCAACAGAGCGTCTTCCTCGCCCATTATCCAATATCTCAAGTTCTTCGATCCTCGAATCTTCGGAAGTGATATCCTTGGAACATTCTGGTTCCAGGATAAGCACTTCCTTGTCCTTCCTAAGATGCTGAAGAAAATCCATTGCATTGCTTTTCGCTTTCTCTAATCCACGGGACAGAAAACCCCCCATCTCGTCAATGGACTCTTGATTCGTGCTATCTCGGCCACCCACAATCGAGAATTCCCTACCAGAACTTGTTGAATGAAGACCAAACTTGGGCTTCCTACAAGGAGCGTGAACTTCCCTCCGGAAACCCTGACTCAATTGCGGGTACTGCTTAATTCTAGACGCTAAAGTAACTAGACTCGTCGAAGATAAGGGCCGGTCTGGACTAAGACGCATAGATGAAATTCTGGGCTTCTTCGAGATGTGAAGATCGTCACGGCACTCGGAATCCGGAGTATACGGAGATGAGGAAGGATAGCTCAAGCTGAAATAACCATCGCCACGCTTACGATTAGTCGTCAGAGCACCCATGACCGCTTTTCGAAGCTGTGCCCGTCACCCTAGAAACCCCAGAAATCAATCCCATAGACAAACCAGCATCCCATCAAAATAACCAGGATAAAGAAAATAGACAAAGAAATATGAAACTTCGTTGGCAATTAAAACCCTAGACAATACCAGAATGCGAAAGCTGAAGCGAAAAAAAAATACCAGAATGCGAAAGAAGTAGGTATTTTGATATACAGTACAGCGGAATAGAACAAAAACAACTGGAGATTTCCTGATTAGATTTGGGGCAAACACATGAACTAGAGAACTTCTTCAGGAATCGAACTCCGACAATGCATTTCGAGAGGATGCATTGTGAAAATAAATAAACGATTTCATTGGAAATTTGACACTGAAATGACAGAATTGAGCAAGCAAGAACGGCTAGTTTTGAGAATTCGTGAAATCTAGGGCACAGGGAGCGCGTCCACCACAGGAAGGAGAGAGAGAGAGAGAGAGAGAGAGATTCACGGTGCGTTCCCGCCTCGGAGGGGATTGCCGGATTGGGAAGTGGGAGAAGGATACCACCGTTCGTTCGTACAGTGGAGTGGAAGTCTACACTTCGCCCCTATTGGGCCAAATTAAGGTGATCATAAGTCGGGCCCAGACCCAGTCTATCACATGGTACAGTGGCTCTTATATAAGCCCGGGCCGTTCTCAGCCCACTTAGGCTGGCACTTTCAGGCCGGACTCCGGAGCTGGCAATAATCACCATTAGACCCAAGCTATTTCCCCTCCCCAATTGCCATGACGTTCTAGTAGACCTGGCAAAAAGTCGATCCAACCCAAAAAAAAATAGGGTTAGGGTTTCATAATTTTTTTTTATAAATCAAATAAATAAATTAGAGATGATAATTTGACCCATCCCATGTACCTCTATTCTGCCCCACCCCAGTCAAGATGGGATTTTTTACCATTGATCGGAGTTCAAGGTGGGGATGATAAATCATGATATGCAAGTAGGATGACCGGGTCAGGGCAGGGAAAATTCGAGGATCCCCATACGGGGTACGGACAGAGCGAGGCATTTGAGTTCAGAATTGGGAATAGCATACAAAACTCGGCCTCACCCTGGCCTGTTGCCATTCCTAAAATAAACTAAAACTCTAGGGAAGATCCCCACCATCAACAATGATCATCAAAACATTTGGCTTTTTATACTACTAGTAAATTTTCTAGAAATATAATTACATTTAGACTATGTTTGGTTTGAAGGAAAAGGTAGGAAAAGGAAGGGAAAGACAAGGAAAAGGGATTATAGCAGATAATGGCAACTTTTGGGTCATAATATCAATAAAAGTAATATTTTAAAAAAAATCAAAATAGGTTGACTTTTTAAAAATAATATCAATTTAGGGTAAAAACACTATTCATCTTCTTCCTCTTTCAATCCATTCATCAGCGCTGCCATCCGTCGCCACCCGCCATCGCCTCTGGCAACGCCTTCACCTATCTCCGCCTTTGCCTCCGACAACGTTGTCGGAGGTGAGCGGAGGCAGAGGCGGCGGCGGCGATGCTAGTGGTCATTCCTCAGCCCAACGCCGCCACCTCCGCCTCCACCTCTGGCAACGTTGCCGGAGGTGACGGCGTTGGGCAGAGGAACGACCACCAACGCCGTCACCGCCGCCTCTGCCTCTACCTCCACCCACCTCCGGCAACGTTGCTGGAGGCGGAGGCGGAGGTGGGTGGAGATAGGTAGAGGCGTTCCTGGAGGTGGTAGTGGGCGGCGGCGCTGATGAATAGATTGCAAGAGGAAGAAAATGAACAGTACTTTTGCCCTTAATTGATATTATTTTTAAAAAGTTGACATATTTTTTGAATTTTTTTTAAAAGTATTACTTTTATTGATATTAGGGCCCTAAAGTTGCCTTTATCTATTATAATCCCAAACTAATACAAGGGTCGTAAATGTTTCTTTACCTTTCCCTTCCTTTCCTTACATTTTCCTTCAAACCGAACATAGCCTTAAGGTTCAAAAAAAAATCATTTGGTTATTAACTTCCAATGTAGCTTCTTCCCTTACAATGTATGGATTGCATGTATATGCCACTTTCATCATAAAATATAGCTCCTTCAACCATTATCTAGAGAAAAAACCAAGGCTTTATATATCACCATCAATCCAAAAATTCTTTATTGTTATTATAGATACAGAAACCATATGAGCCATATAAAGCATCATCCTTGATGAAGGTACCAGCATCACATTGAATTGAATAATAACTTCATCACCTTCAGCATTCATATTCATATCGATTAAAATTTGATTAGAGGTATGCTCTATACTATCTTCATTATTCCCCATCACTCCATTCAAGACAGGAATTCACCAAAGACACCACCCAATTAACATGTCTTCTAATATTTGAAAAAATGACATTATTCCTATATTTCTAGACAAAATAAAACGCCACTGCAAGCCAACAACATCTCAATCCAATGTGAGTTCATTACATATGCATCAGGTCCAATCCAATCCAATAAATATTTTGGATTATTTGGACCAATCCAATTCAATGTTTGGACTGTCCAGTCTGTTCAAATTCGTTTTAATTTAGATTGGTTTGAAGTTCAAATTCATTTTAATTTAGATTGATTTGAATCCAAAGCTGGTCCATTGACACCTATATTCTTATCTTATATCAATGGATCAGATATTGACTTAATCCAATCCAATCCAATATAAATTTATAATGGACAGACCAGATCCAATCCAATCTAATAAATATTTTGGACTGAATTGATCCAATCCAATATGTTTTGTTGGTCCATTGAATCCATCCAAATTGATTTTGGACTAGACAGGGTCCGATCCAAAACCGGTCCATTGACACCCTTAATCTCATTGAACTCACTAAACATCAAGCTTGAAATTTGAATTCATAAAAAAAAAATCAAATAATGAGATACCAAATGAGACCATTCCACATTAATGCCTTTAACAATCAAGTCCATTTTTGAAACTACGAATTTCCCAATCAATCTCCACATAAACAAGTTTGAATTTGGCGGATTGGTCTAAAAATACATGATTTGTACGCCATTCATTTTCTAGAAATTGTTTTACTGTAAATTTTCGATTATGACTCTCTATCCATATCTAAACATCTTCTTGCCTATTTCTCATAGTAGTTGTACCCAAAATTGACTCCCCCTCTCCTCTACCATACACATTTGTGATCATTTGCCTAATTCAAACTCCTAAACTGTCCTGAATTAGGTCTTGAACCATCAACTTGCTACTTTTTTCTATAGGTCCGACAAGAGATCTATATATCTTTCCTCGTTGTTCCAAACATTAAGATTCGAATGATTATTCACTTGAAAACCAAAATCGGATTCAGTCAGTGCAAAGCCCATTCGAACAGCCATTATAGTCTTGCATTGGGAATATCTCTCCATGAAATAAAGCACAGAAGTATGGAGATGTTCCCGATGTAAATCTGTAAAGGCTGTTCGAAAGGTGTACGAATAGGCCTTGCACTAACTGAATCTGATCTCTTGAACACCAACCTTACTAAAAATATTTGTAAGAGCCTTGGAAATTCCTTTACAAATAGGGGATGCATATCACAAAACTTTTAAAGGAAACTTAGGGTCCATTTGGTTCGAGGGAATAAGAGCCTGGAATCGGAATCAGAATGAGCAATTCCCATTGTTTGATTGACACCCATTCCCATTCTAGGCAGAATGGGATTCCCCCATACGGGGGAATGGCCATTCCCGACTCTCCCCCATGGAATGCGATTCCCATTTACTTCAACTTCAACCTTCATTCTAACCATTGCCGTCGTTGCCACCAATCTCATCTCTAACGAGGTAAGACCACCGCCAACCATCCTTCTTCCACTCCTCCTCCTCCTATTTCTTCTTCTTCTTCTTCTTCTTCTTCCAAATCAACTGGCCCTCTTCTTACTTCTCCTCCTCCTCCTCCTAATATGGTGGTTCGTTTTACAGATCCACCCCTTTTTTTGATTTGGATCCACCCTTGCTCTGATTCATTTTGCAAATCTGCCCTGCTCTGTTCGTTTTACAATCATGCCTCTTGTTTTGGTGAGACATAACTTGCTTTGTAATTTCTTCTTTAAGTTACATAATTAGAGAACTTCTAGACATTTTACATTTCTGCATAGTTAAACCCAATAAAGATTTCACATCACAACATCTACATCTAATTAGTTCATCATCAACGTTGGTAGCAACAACTATATCAACAAATTATCTTATCCCCATTGTTAACAACAAACAACTACCCAAAAAATAAAAAAGCATATCGGTCTACAATTACAAGTAGTAGTATTTGGTATTTGGGTTTTGATAGGATCACCTTACCTAATAGTTCTAATCCAGTTTTTATATAGAATTGATAAGAGAAAAAAAAAAAAACAGTTTTGTCATATACATTTGATTTTACTCATTTGTCAAACCGTTATCCAAAAGAGGGATTATAAGTGATTGGATTTGTTGAGTCTAAGCCAAGTTTCAGTTCATAGTCAGAGATAAAGTGAATGAGAAAGCAATGATCCAATGGTGGGAAAAAGCTCAAACGATTTCATTACTTTTGAATACATTTATATATTGAGTGAATAGAAAAGAATAAGAAAATAAAGAAAGAATCTCTTGGTTACAGTATGTTATTTTAGAGCCAATTGATCACTTAACTTGCTAATATTATGAAGATTTGATGAAGATCTTGATGGGATCATAGCTGATCTACAATTCAAAGCTACACAAACTGAATCTGTGCTACTTGTAGCAAGTACTGTTGCATTCACCAGTGTCATGCATGAAGACGGTGTTGAGGTGGGCTTAACAAGAGATATGCCAAACCCAGAACATCAAAATAGTTGCAGGAAAGTGAATGAGTGTGAAAATGTATTGTTATTAGCTGTGGTATAACTTTCACCAGCAAAAACAAAAAACAAAAAGAAAGAAAGAAAACAACAACAACAGGAAAAAAAAATCCAAGACAAGATACCACATGGAACCCTTCCCTTCTACATGTGGCTCTTATAGTGAATGACAGGATGCCACATGGAATCCTTCTCTTCACAACCATGTTGCTGTGAACAATGATGAAGATCATTAGCATTTGCTCCAGGGAATAAATCCCTGGAATTATGGGAGGAATTTATTCCATATATCTCCATGGTCAATAGATTTTTTTTCAGTCTTATTAACACATACGCCCATCCCTATATTGTGTCTTGTTTCCATGGTGTCCATATAGTTTAGAAATGGACCTTTGCATCTCTTGCCTTCATGGTGTTTTGTCTATGCAAAAAAATGCATTGTTTAGTTTCATTTTTATTTTCCTTTCTCCTTGATGACGCCTTTTTTTTTCATAATTTATTAATTTATTGTAATATTTTTTTGGTCTATGTAATGGATTGGGCCCATATCAATGCGTCCATTTAGTTTAAAGATGGCCCACACCAAAATGCAAAAAACAACATGAATAAAGAACCACTCCCATTTGTTTTTTGTTTTCTGACCTTCCAAAAGGATAGTCACACATGCAATGGTTAAGATCATTTGATTGCAAACTTGAACATCATCCTCATATATTAGAAAATTCCTTGATGAAGGCCAGCAAAATGCTAC